GCATCGGGACGAGGTGAGAGCCAGCAGCCGAAAAGGAAGATCAAAAAGAATCAAAGGAATTCAACGCGACTCTGCACAATGAAGTGGTGGCCACTTTCAATACCATTCACCCAGGGCCGGATTAAGGGGGGGGCTGTTGCCCCGGGCCCAACTTTTCCAGGGGGCCCTCGAAGGAAATTGAATGCGTTAAGTATTTGCGTAAAGTAGCAGGGGGGGCGCGACTGCCCCTCCTCTGACCTAGTTCGCAGTCTATTTTTTAAATGTAAAAAGCACATAAATTAATGTTTATTAGCTCATGTGAAATAGATATTCAAGGTTTTTACCGCAGGCAAAAAGTTAATAAGGCGAGAGGGCAGAGGGTGATGGTAGATGGGGGGGGGGGGGGGAGGCTGGGAACTAGAAAACAGGTCCTGTTTCCCTATGAAAAATTTCTGTATCCGCTACTGCCTATATATATAAAGTCTCCCACATAATTCAATAGTAAAAAATCGAACAGCAGGCCCCGTTTCATTCCTTGCACCAGGGCCCGTGCCGAACACACTACGGCACTGTGTCACGTAGAGTGGAAGATGCAGGGGGAGGCTACCTACTGAATTTTTAAAATACTGTACACACATTGGTGTTTCGCTGCCCTCAGAGACTCACGATAGGCAAGGATTAGATGAATTCGAACTCAAAATGCAGCGTAATGCTGTTCGATAGCAAAGCAGTCTCCAAGCAACACACCATGTTGGGCCCAAGTTGGCTGTGCGTGGAAAACCTTGGGATAACATATCACCGTGGGTTGACCTTGTAGGCTCCACGTTGACGCTAGGGCGACTGCCAACATTTGTCCCTAGTGCTGGCAAGCCATCTAGGTATTACTCGAACAAACAAGATTCCCACAAGTGAAGCGAGATGGCCCCTACAGAAATATATCTATACTATGGCAAGTCACTCCCTGATACTACATGAATACATCTCCCACACTTTATGTCGCACCCGACCTTTCTCCAAAGACAACTTAGGGGAAGACTCTGGAATTCCTCAATAAATTCGTCAAAATACAGGGTGAGTCAAAAGTCACTGAACGACCTTGAACAGCTATAACTTGGCAAGGAATGCATTAATTTGCAAAATGGTTTCTTGCATAGGTTTTGTAGATTTTTACAAATCTACAATTTTGGGGAAAAAATCATATATTTATTTGGCGTAAAAATGATTAATTACTGGCCGTGATATTGAACACCATCAAGCTCGATAACGTGAGCCATCACCGAAGGGCAACTCCAGCAATCCTCTCAGTGATGCGTTGCTTCAGTTCGTTGATCACGCGCAAATTTTCGGCAAATACCTGGTCTTTAAATGAGACCCTACAGTCAAAAGTCGAGTGGAGTCAGGTCCGGCAACCTGGGAGATCACTCGATAGGCCCGACCCGGCCTATCCACCCGTCTTCAAAGAAAAACGACTCTTCACTTCGGAAAGATTTCCTTCACAAATAGAAAAGAAATCAACGTTGGCGACACGTTCCACCAAAGAAAGTTCATCGGCATCATCATTAAACCATTTGGAGCAGGAAAAACTTAAAAAAAAATAACCGAAAATAAAATAATAATAATAGTGTCCATTGTACCCTAAATATACATTTTATGTTGAAAAATGTTGCTTTTCGTTTTGTGTTGAGTCACCCCATATCTTACTAGTATTTCATGAAAATTTCCATGATGTTCCGTCATTTAACGCACGCTCTTTCTTATGCAAGAAACCGTTTGCAAATTAATGCCTTTCTTGCAGAGTTATAGCTGTTTAAAGTTGTCCAGTGACTTTTGACTCACCCTGTGGATAAACCAGCCCAGGATGACAACTGGCGATTCTAGAGGGGGCATGATTCAAGAGACTTGACTCCATGAGTTGAGGATAAAAACATTTACGAGTCCGTTTGTGAAAGCTGTGACGGGCTTCTGAAGAGGAAGTAGACCCAGGTGTATTAATAGGGGTCACCCGAGGGATCGTATCTGACTCGCACTTCCAGAGCAGAAAAAGAAGCAGTTGTTTGATGGAAGAAGTCACCGAGTGTTGTTATCCCTTGCAGGAAATGAAAGCCAAAGGAGGACGTAATCGAGGAAAAATTGAGTACTTCCTGCCAGGTCGAGAGAGACTCAGCTGAATGAAAATATCCTGCAGCGGAAAAGACCAGTGGTATGGAAATATGCGCCATTCCTCCAAGACTCTCAAAAGTCTTGCCACGCGAGTTTAATGTTGATCCAAAACGGGACCGAGAGACAAACCTGCGAGGATCCCACGCTGGGAACCAATCCTAGGACGTACATCGCATGTGGGCTTTCAACATCGGCCCAACGCGGGTGGTTCATGTTGGCTCAACGTAGGCTCCACATGGCACATGTGGGACACCAACATTTCCCCTACCTTGGCCTAACGAGGGTGTGATGCCAGGGTTCTTCGTTCAGCACCACCCCCTCGCCACCCTCAGGACTGCGCTCAGCAGACCCTCTTCCCCACTCTCGTTAGCTGCGGGACCCTGTCATGACCTCCACTAAAGGGATCCTGAGCACGCCGCTGATTTAAAAGATATATTAAACCTCGAAAATAATCACAAGCTTGTCATCAATCTAAGCTAATACGGTTTCACGGCAATGTCCGGGGAAGGTGGCATACTTGGCTCAAATCCGAATAGCCTATGCATGCCGTGAGGATCGGCCTTTCCCACTCCGTGTCCTCTCTAGATATTCATACATACCAGTGGTACTAAAACCGCGGCCCGAAGGACGCATCTGGTTCGCTAAGACATAACGTGCTTTCCATGAAGTGGAATCGTTAGGACCCTTTCTTTGTGCAGCCCAAGTAAGGCTGACCAATTCCAGATGCTGCCCCCTGCTCAAAAAGTTTGAGTACTCCTGACATAACGTATATAATACACTTTGTGTATGTCCTGCTCGTCTCCACCTCTCAGCCACCTTCACCGACGGGTTAGCGTTTTTAGCGAACTCAAGGATGGTGCAATGGTGCGGATGAGAAGAGAAAATTTTGAAACTGTCAGGACATATTTTAAAATTAATTTATTAACGCCATCGGTTGTGGTGAGATGTGGAAAGGGTGCGTTTTTCTTTTCCTCTGTATTATGCCACTAGGGAATCAAAGCGGCAAGAGAGAAGAATAAAACTAATTTCGGCTCACTAGCTCTTTCCTTTTCTGAGAAATCAAATAATATTATTTTATTTTATTTTATTAATTTAAAATGAAACTAAATGAAATGTAGTTGTGGCAGCTACGAACAAAAGGAATATTAAAAAATAACAAGAGTAAACAACAAAACGGTCGTAATACCTGACATTTCCCCGTAATTCACAACGAAAATGGCTGAGAACAATCAGATGACATCATCCTTCAGGTGGTGGTCCGCAATCTGATCTGGCGTTCCAATCGCAATGTGGCGACTGTACCCAATAGCGAAGTGACACTGTACTATTGGGTCAGGTTTGTAACTGCAGAGTCACGCCGAGACAAACGACTGACAGGCGTTACCTGTCCTTTGAATGAAACTAATCAGGAAAACCGTGATTTAACAGATTCGAAGTTGGCGGCCAGGGTACCAGGGCGACATCTCCGTTCTATTGATATATCATGCACCTAGGATTTATCATCACGGCACACAGGTCATCCATGCCTAAGGAAGATGCCCTTGTCATATTTCACAAGCCACGTATGCTTCTGAGTCAGCGTTCCATGTGCTACGCCATGTGCGACGTCGCGTGATATGTATCAACATACAGGGTGTCTCAGAGAAGACTGACACATTTTGTTCCGATGTAGTATTTCTGCTTTCGGTAAATAACACAGATAACACGTATATAAAGTACCACAGACTTCGGAGATTTGTGCGGAAATTGAATATTTTCATTTTCAATTTTTCACTCTTTGAAAATGATGCCTTCCAAGTATCCTCAGTGGACATTGATGCATTCTCCCGCCTTGACCGAAACATTTTTCATCGTCGCACGTCAAGTTTCTTCATTGATGCTTGGATTCCTTGTCGAATTCGGTTCTTCAATTCTTCTTCATAATATGGCCTTTCAGAGTAGATTTTAGATTTTTGGAACCCGCGAAGGAAGGAGTCTGGAGCCACCAGGTCCGGTGACATTTGGGTCACATCATCGAATCACGATATCAACTTCCCGGAAATTGCTGCCAAAGGAAATTCATGCAAATATGGGCTATGTGGCTAGTATCTTGCATGAAAAACACGTTATGATTTGCTGCGACGCTGGAGTTCTGGCTGAAATAATTCTGCGACATTTCCAAATAACGCTCAGCTATCACTATCACGGTGTGGCCAGCTGCTGCAAGAAAGTAAGGCCCGATTAGGGCGTGAGACGATACGACCTGATGAAGAATTTTTTTTTTTTCAGGGCGCAAGAATGCATCAATCTCCATAGGGGATACTTGAAGACACATTATTTTCAAAATTCGAATAATTGAAATGGAAAATATTAATTTTCCCCACAAATCTCCATGTCTGTGGTACCTAATGTACCGTACTCATATGTGTTTTATGTATAATTTATCGAATAATAAATATTATATATTGAAATAAAATGTGTCAGTCTTCTCTGAGACACACTATATTAACTTTATAGCAAATCATAAATACTATTGAGAGATGGGGCTGATTTTTTTGATGCACTAGAGTTTCTGCATAAAACTTAGGCAATCGCCAGTGCATTTTAGTTTTTCTTCATGCAAGCGAAATCTAGCGATAAATCCATTTTCCTTTAGCTTATAGTCCCAACATCAAAAACTTCGCCTCTGGTGAGCATTTTTGACAGTTAGCTTAATACGGATAGGGCACCGCTACTCCATATTGTGAAACCACAAATGAAACCAACCTACCGACATAGGCTCAATCTTGGCTGGCCATACATTCAACGCCACTGTCTTGTCTAGCTAATAACTGATTTGTTCAGGTTTCTCGTAAATCGTCGCAATTGAACGCTACCGATTAAGAAAATGAAACTAGACTCTTTTTTCCTGTCTGACTAAATTCCACATTGTTTGGGAAGATTCTGCGGCGATCACAGCAGTGTGGCCATGGGGATGAATATTGTTTGTTGCCCATCATTCCATTCTATGTGAAGTGGCTCCGGCCAATATGGTCGCCGACAACTGAGAACGTGCCATCAACGAGAAGCCCATGAAGAGCTCTCAGCTAAAAACCCAAAAGGTTATTGCGCTTTTGCTCATTTTTTTACTCAGAAATTTTATTTTCATCGCTGAAAAATGCTTCAGATGACCAGAATGAGAAAATTTCACGTTGACGATACTCTTGTTGATAGCAAAATTGTGACCACGTTGTCGTAGGACCAGGATCGTTGACAGCTTGGAACACGCACTAGGTATAGAGGGCGACGCCTTGTAGCCCTGGCCTTTAGGCCTAAGTGTAGGTTAGGGGTGTCTACTGTGCAAGTAGTCAATGGACAGACTTATGTAAGGGTAGACGTAGGCCTAGGCTAAGTTCAAGGGTCAAGCGTTGGGCCGGGATGAGAGGCATTTCCATATCGACATTCCGAGTCGTGGTCGATTTGCCACCATCTATGACGAAGACAAGTGTTACTGGTGGGAATTTGTTTGCCTAGTTACCAGCCATATTACTCCCTTTCCTTTTATAGCCAATGAAGACATGTGATTTCTTAAAGCTATCTATGGAAGAAGTAGCTGCTGCATTTTCACATAATGCTTTTACACTTACTCTACCAAACAACAAAAGTTGTCCAGTAGTGTGAGTCATGCTTATTGACATGTCCCACTGGGCTGATTTTCTCCTTTGAATTTATCAAGTTAGAAAATTAACCATGCCCCACATTATCAAGGCTCATTGACTTTCAATGCCTTGCTGAGAGCCTCCATTGTTAACCTGAACTCTGTCTTTATGAAAGTCCTTGTATCTCCCTATTATGCTAGTAGCTTCCCCGGAACTCTTTCCAGAGCCATTTAATCTCTTTTATTTGCAGGCCTCAGAAATTGGATGCAATTTGTATGAAACTGCCTCATCAAAACTGTGTACTATGAAAGAAAAATGTGTACGCTCTTATTGGTGCCTGAATGCCAGAGGATGCCAAGTACTATTTTAAATTTAGCTAACTTTGTCTGGATATATTCTTTCATTTTAGTCCCTTATTGATAACCCCAAATTCCCTTTCCTCTTTTTCTTTCTATCCTAACTAAATACATTCAGCTACTCATTGTTAGGGCCAATAATGAAGAACTTTCCATCTACCTTTATAATACTTTATCAGCCATTTTTTTACCCCACTCATCCATGAGCCATAAGCCCCACTTAGCTCTTGCCTTATCCTCTTCTTCATTTTTGCTGTAAATTTATTTCTTTCTTCACGAGGCACTCATCTAAATCATTATTGTAAATGACAAACAGAAGTGACCCCAAGAAGGAGCCCCTGGAGGACTCCACTCATGACTCCATCCATCAGGAGACGTTTCCCCATTGCAATTACTCTCTACTCTCTCCCTAACAACCAGGTACTCATTCAGTTCTTGAGGATTGATGATAGGAAATGAACTAATGTTTACCTCCCACCAGCTGTTCTCCATCAACAGCAAAAAACTGATAACTCTTCTTGAAAGAAGTTCTCCTTCACAATACCAATGTTGTAATACCATCTTTGCCAGCTACAATCTTATGGCAACATTAAAGTTAAAGCCAAAAAGGTGTACCATCTCATTCAAGAAGCAACTGTATGAAATGGTTGAAGAATCTATTCTTAAATACTTTCGTAGAAGTCTCATCCCTTTTATATCCTTGGGTATTTTGTTTCAGCCCACTATTTCTTCAATTACTAGTGCTTCTTTGCCAAAATCAGTTTTTAGGCCTAAATATCCTATTACAAAGACTGACTATGTTAACAAGAAGCTCTGGATGTATAGTTCAAGCTATGAGATATTATAAAAACACCCTTCCCAGAAAAGTAAAGGTCCAGCATGATCTTGACCATCAGCAGGACTCAGTGCAAATATTTTCTTTAGATGCATCTGAGGGATATGGAAGTGAAAATCATCAATCCACAAGGTATTAGTCTCTTAGTCAAGTCAAAGGGCTGTTGGAGGTATAAAAGGGAAGGGCGTGTTGATTCATGCTCTGTCTTGAGCCTATTTATCAAGTCATTTACTATGCCAGAGATGCAGTGAAGCCATATCCATGGATGGGGGCAAATTGGGGGCATTCAGTTCAGTGGTTACACCCAGGGATTAAAGTGATCATGTAGAGGTAATATTATGGTCATCATCTCACAGTGAACAGAAGTGGAGTTCATGATATTCATAGTGATGATGAGACAAGCCTTTTAGAAATAGGTTTTTTCTTTCTATTTAAATCCATATTTAGCACAATAAGAACTAGGTAAATCATAGAAACTAGTCAGTATTTGGAAACCTCGCCCATTCGTTTTCATAAAGAAAATCAAGGCTAACAAAATGCACACACTGAGTATAGGACTATATCAGCATGGATGTGAAATTATTAGAAATTAGCTATATGACCATACATACCTCATTTTTAAATGTGCTAAGTGTGCCTCTGGCACATGAAGCCCCTCCTTAACTACTGCAAATATTTATAGTTATTATTTTGAATTGTTCCTTGCTGTGATTTGGTATCATTGAAGCTTGTCTAGTGTTTTTGGTGATTGTAACCATTTGGGCGGTTTTCGTCCAAACAGAAAAGAAACCGGAATTCTCAAGAATAGGCCTCGTCTTCCATTTGATTCGATAATCACTCCATTTTATTGATGCAGGCTCTGAATGCAGCTCAACGCCAAGGGGTCCCTGTAGAGACAACAAAGAAATGTAAGTATGCAGTTGATTATTACCATTAGCAGACTTGGCAATGGCAAGAAGCTCTAATTAATGCATGTCACCTCTAACAACTGTTCTTAACCCTTTTTAGTCCAGGGGAACAATATATATCATCATTTTTAACCTACAAATCAGCTGTGTGGCACTAAAAGGGTTAACTATGATGTAAGTCAATGGATGAAGATCCACCAGCACTTTGTGTCCTATAATCGTTCTGGACTATTCATAAAAATTCCTTAAATCTCAGAAAGTGGAATTCTTCGATTTTGGAGTTAACCCTTCCCCAGTGTTGGGAATGGTTTAAGTTTGCAGCTGGATGTCATTTTGGTTATTAGGCAGCTTGCAATTAGATAATATATACCAGGGAGGCTATAGTTCCATATTGGTGGTGCACTCATGCGAAAGCTGTGCTCGGCTTCATATAATGCTGTCTGCAATGAAAAAAAATGCTGCAAAGAAAACTCTATATTGCAAGAAGTCAGATGGTCTGAAGGTCATTTTTCTAAATTGTCATGTTGTGATAAAGCTTTCAGCAGATTAAATTAGGTATTTGGATTCCTTTGATCTGAAAGAGGAGAGGAAATTCTTGCTACTTGGCAATGTGAAGGATTAGCAAACATAGAAAAATATCTAAGATGACATGATCTATGCAAAGTATCTCTGAAATTATTTTTAAGGTTCTTCTCTGTCCAGTCAATGCAGGTACTAACAAGCATACAGGGACCACTTTGAACACCACACGTTTGGACCGAGAGACTGAAGAGTTGAAACATGATAAGGTGACTCTCGATGTTGGACGCTTGATTCAGCAAGGACGGCAGGCGAAGAATATGACACAAAAGGACCTTGCCACAGTGAGTTAATAGGAGTGATTTCATTACTTATTTTAATTAATGTGAAAAAAAATCATGTTTAAATGCACCTGCTTATCTCACCTCCATTTCACAGAGAATCAACGAAAAACCTCAGGTGATAAACGACTATGAAGCTGGTCGAGCTATTCCAAACCAGGCCATCATGGGAAAGATAGAACGGATACTAGGTATGTTTGGATTGCATCATTTCCAGGTTATTTCTTCAGATTAGTTAATTTGGTCAATAGTTACATTTTGCAAAACCTGGTTCCTTCCTTTTTACCAATGTATATCTCGTAGCATGGTGAATTTTCAGCATCTGACTTTTTAAATTGCTTCAGAATTGTGATTTGTAAACATGCATCACTTCTTAATTGAAGACAAGGCTGACAAGGTTGTGATCAAATCTTTCATCAGATGAGGGCTGTGGTACTCACTGATTGCTGAAAGAACTCCCCACCCATGGATGAACTCTGGATGGTTTGTCTTGGCTATTGAAGGAAGTCAATTTAGTTGTAAAAACTGATAGTAAATAATTTTTATTATTTGTAAATAATTTTTTTCATATTGAGCATGACAAGAGAATACTTTGTGCAGAAATTTCGCACAAGTAGATTAGCTGGTCTTTTCATGTTTGTTATTTTCAAAATTACCAGTGGCAGGAAGTTCTTTCCCATTTGCCATAAGCATGTCAGTACAATGACATCACTCAGATGAATTGTAAACAGCATAAGTCTTGTTGCCTTCTTTCTCCCTGTCCCCATTTCCTTTCCTTTTTTTCAGGAAAAGAACTGCCAATAGCCTTGCAATTGGCAGTAAATTTGTTCAGTGTGAAACAGATCTGCTATTTATGAATTGCATATCTGAGTAGAACTTTGCTGAAATATTCATACATAGGATAATTTGGGGTAATATGGCCATAAAAAATTAAACCTAGTCTTAACAGCCCATCAAGGTCGAATTTGACTTTTAATATATTTCTAAAATATTGATTGATATCTCCTTTACTAAATCCCATCAAGACACATGCAAAAAAATGCATGGATATTGCACCTTTGGATCCTTTCTAAGTTGGTTCCAGGAGGCCATATTACCCCTATTGTTGGGGGAATATGGCCACTTCTCATAAAGCAACTCAGGATTTAAGGTATGTGCGAAATGTGCTGGAACATGCTGAGCACCTTGAAACATAATAAAGGCAGCTCAGCAGTTGAAAAAGTTTCACATTAACTGTGTTGAGGACAACCAAAGAAGTCAACATCATTACCTGACTCAAGGACCTGTTGTGGAGAGCAGGATTGCAATGCTTTTGGCTGAGTTGCATTGCATGTGATTAGGAGACTGTGTCTAGAGACTATGGGTGTAAGAGGAGTGACCAACCACAGATCAAAGTGAACATGTGCTATGAGTATGAAATAAGAGGATGAGGTTAATGAAGGTTCTCATGAAGCATTAGACTATCTACCATGCTCTTTATTTTAGTCTCCATGGCAGACCATGCTGCTCACTATTCTCAAAACAGTCCATTTTATGTTCTGTTGTGAATGCTTGGAGCTACTGTTGAAGTTAAATGTATGAAAACACCTATAATCAGTAATAATGGACAATAAATGTTTAACTACAATCTATGGAGAAGTGGAATATCTAAGATTATTATGTATAGATATTAATATAGACATTAACTGAAACTCCAGTGGCATGTGCAGTTTTTTTTCTGTCTACAGTTTTTCCCTATGCAGTGGGGTTTTAAAGTTTTTAGCACCCTGTACATGTAGGTCTATAAGTTACTTTCATTTTTCATTTTTGCCTTGTAGGAATCAAGCTTCGTGGCAAAGAAAAAGGAAAAGCAAATATGCCTCCTGGGTCAAAGGATTGAGTGCTCCTCGCTCTTTGTCACCCAGGAGGCAAGTGAAAAAAAAAACATCTGTCCTTGGATGTCTACTGGGAGACTTTTCCCTGGCAGTGATCTTTCATACCCCCTCATCATTTCTCATGTTCTTTTGGGAAGTTGTTGGCTTTTTTTGCAGGTGACTTCCTTATGGTGTTGGCATCCCTTCGACTATCCATTGCTATCTCTGCAGTGAAACTTTCATGTTTCTGTTTCTCATCTTTGAAATAGTCTCTCATGTGTGATGCATAATTTGGAGTAAAATTTGGAGTAATAACTTTGATGTATTTATTTTTCTCCTTGGATGGCATATCCTGAGCATGCCATGCATTTGAATGCACTCCTTTCAATGATGACAGTGTCCTATGGTGTTTACAGGGGTGGAACTCATCAATATTCAACCTTTCTTTTTCCCTTTGTGAATGATTTGTATAGGTGGATATGATAATGACAAAAGTCTGTTCATTTGAATAAGAATTATGGTAGCTGTCAAACAAAATGGGTTAATACTGCAGTGCACTAAAAAAATCAGACATTTGAAGTAAAGGGCCAACACGTTTTACAATGCGTGAGAACAGTCAGATATTTGGAGTCACAGGCCAGCAGCAGTCTATTCATGTACGTACATAATACACAAGAGGCTAATCTGTCCATGTGTCATTCCAGGAGACTCCTAGATGAATGAACTAATTTCCATGATGGAGGTGTCAATTGAAAGTTTATGACCTGGAGACAAAACTTATTGGATCAAAAGTGTTACCATTTTGACATAATTTAGTCAAATTTTGGCAATAAGAATAGCATTGTACTAAATGCTTTCCTGGACAAGTGCTTAGAACCAACAATTAGAGTTGTTGTGCATTGTGGGCTATGGACTTCATTGCTATGGTAACTGTTGGCAATGATCTTTTGAGTTTTGTCGTGTCACCAGTCCTGTTGCTAGTTTACCACAGTGCTTCATGTGAGTCTGCAGCATTCAGTTAGGGCTCAATATTACTATATTGAATTATGGTACTACTCTCAAAATGCCATGAAAAAGGCAGGGAAATTTAAACCATTCTGCGGCACAATCCTCTGAAGTCAGGCACTATAAGAGCAGGATGACAGACAAAATTCTTTCATTCAACTTCATTTCATCCCATTTATATATGGTCTTGTACACTAATTGTTTATAACCACACATTCCATGTCATTTTGAGATGCGTGATCACATCTTGAGCAAGGAAGCGAGACTTAGAGGCGACAGAATCACTTTTGAAGTTATGAAGCATTCAGGAGCATACTGAGCCATACCCTACCTGAGATGCATTCCTTGTGATGGTCATGAGAGTTTGCAGAACACTAGGCTAAGTCAGGAAAGGTATGAAAACACTGTGGTCCTCACTCGAGCCTCAGTATTTTAGAGGATTTCTTTCATGCGTACCCAGTACTGGGATTTAGGCCATATACAAGGGGTGATCCAAAAGTTTCTGCTCTGAGATATAAGGAAATTAGATTGACTCATTAACCAAAATATCTATTTTTTAACATTGCCTTCCTGGAAATCAACACTAGTGCCATTGATGGAGCAAGGCTTCAATCTCATGGGGGAAAAATTCATTTTCTTTAGTTGTCTAAAATACTTGGACAGCACCATTGAATTCATTTTTACCTTCATAGCTGCTTCAAAGGAAGTTTGGCTTTATATTGTATAGCATTAAATAAGCTGTTTTATTTGAATAAATAAACATATATCAAATGAATGGTTTTTGCTATATTAAAAAATATCCTCAATGCTCTGTATTAAGTTTTTGCCATTTTGACATGTAATATTTGGCTAGAAAATTTTTTAAATATCAATTAAAGAAAATTAAATGCAGTTAAAACCAATTGCTGACACCTGAAATTACCAAACAGGGTGAAGGAATATGGCAACCAACATTCTCAAATTCTTCTCAAATCAATTTTACATTAGGATAGAAGCTTTTGGATCATCCCCCCTAGTATGTGGTACTTACCAGAATGTAAGACAACTTCAAATATAAGTATGAATAGTGAAAGCCCAGATTCCCAAAGAACCTTATACTAGTATTTGGGTAAATACTCATCATTTGCTCTTTTTATGAATAAGAAAACTCCAAGGTACAATCTCCCTCATCCTGTTTTTCCTTCATAAAAAAGTAATCAATCAGTGCCATCAGCATTTTTCCATTCACGGAAACAAAACTGATAGCCCTACAAAAAAAAATTATTTAAAATTAAATCATATTCTTTTCTTAAATAACCCACCTATAATCTGGCTTAAGAAGGGGGCCTAGATGTCGGCCTATAATTACTCATTTCATTTGGATTCCCACCTTTGAAGACTGGGGTCCTTCAGGCAACCTTGAGACTGTCCAAAGACAGGATATTCCATGTATAAATACATTTAAAAAAACATGATAATGTGAGCCTGTCAGGAATTTCTTCAAACCATTTACAATTCTTTGAAGAATTGTATCAACTCACTTTCCTTTGTTAAGTTTAGCATATCTTCTGCAAATTTTCTCATCAGTCATTGGAATTGCAAAGGCTGTTGTTTTCAAGATTCAACAAATTTTGGCGGGTCTTTCTTTTGTGCTCCAAAATATATCCAAGTGAGAAACCCACTTCTGCTTGGACTTCAACAAAATGATTTACTATTTCTTGAATTTAAGTCCCACTATCATGTCGTCCTTTTTGTAATACTGAACTAGGAGTGTTCAAAAAGTTCTTGCACCCCCTTGCTAAGTTTGCTGTGGGGCTCGAGAAATTAGTTGTATGTATGTCGTTATACAAAGCAGTTTATAGAGTTCTCAACACATTTCATCCACTTTGTTTTCATGTCCCTGAAAAGCCTTGCTTTTGAAGATCCTTCAAGGCACTGGACACTGTTGAGTTGACCTCATCCACATCATTATACTCTTTACCTATCTTATTCTTCATGAAATCCACAAGGACCAGGTCAGGTAAATGGCTATTTCATTTGAGTCAATGTTTTCCAATCTCATGAATTTAGCAGTCCAACAACATTCCTCTTCACTTGGAGTCCAGCATTGTCATGCAGCTGCCACAATGTTTGGTGTTGTAATGACTGCCTGCCAGAGTGGTGGCTCACCTTCAACAGTAGTTTTTTCTCTTCTGAATGCAGCCATCTGCAACTGAACATTGGGTGGGACATGTACAGTCTCCTAAGGCTTTTCCCAATGTTTCCTGGATTTTATTAAATTACTATATTTCCTTAAAATTCAAATCTTGCTTAAAAAATTGGCAAACATATGGCCCTGTGATCAGTTCTGGTTTATGTACATAGTTCTAGAAGATGGAGGAAACAAAGGATGTGCTCTTAAACTTAGCCATAAGCTAAGCATTTCCATGCATATTCCATCAGTAGCTACAAATGTGTTCTCGCAGGGCCAATGGTATTTGAGTGAGTGAGGGGGTGCAATAACTTTTTCAACAGCCCAAGAATACTCCTATCTTCAAGTACCCATAAGAATACCTTCTTGTTTTCCTTTCTTTTAGCTTATTCAAAGATGCACAATAGTTTTTAAAGCAAATAATGACATTTCTTTTTATAGCTGTCACCAATGGGTTTTGTAAAATAAAGCAGATGGCCAGTAAATGAACCCTTTCCAAATCTTGCTGGAAATGCATAAGATAAGCCCCTCCTCCTTGCTCTGAGAGCAAATTTTTGGCATTGAGATAGTGACTTGTTGCATTACATAGGACATTTGTGATCTTGCCTTGAGATAAAAACAGCATTAGCTTGATGCCAGTTAAATTTAGACCAGTTTAATTTATCCTCCAAGAATCACATATTTTGTCATTCACATATGCACTGCAAGACACATTATCTACCACAATCATCCTCCAACTCCTGCTTCTGTCTTAAATGGTACCAATACAACTGAGCACCTGTCTGTCTATGTAAATCTCCATCCCACAACATATTCTTCCAACATGTGAACCAGAAGATTTTGCATATTTCATCTAGCAGCTACACTTGTATGAAGGGATATTGAAAAGTTTGCAGACTGAGGTCCTATCATCTATTATGGGCATAGGCAGCAATTCCTAAGGGCTCAGGGGGCTCGAGCCCCCCCTCCCCAAAATTTGGCAGAATAATAAGGAATACTTGAGAGTACTATCTCTGAGTCCCCCCAAATTTCTCAACAAATCACCACCTATGATTATGGGACATCTGGAACTTTGGTGATGATCTCCTTTATGAAGTATCGACCTCCTTAGGCATTCCAGCCACTTTTAGAAAATGTGCAGTAAACCATCTTGAGACAAGGAGTCAGGTTTTATTCCCTGATTCTTCATCTGTGTAGGAGTGCTGGCCATGTAGGCTTCTTTTCAGTGTTGAAAACGCCCAAAAATTTCAAGTATACTAATAGTTGTTACAATATGAAGTCAGGGGTTTTGCTGTTGCAGATGTCCATTAATTGTTTATATGCCAGCAGAAAATGGCTGTCCCTTTCAGAGATTTTTCACCATAGATTTCTTGGATAATGTTAAATGTCTGTCACTGATTTCTTAAGCCAACCACAAAATTCAAGACCACATCTCTCTTTTAAAGCTATGGAAATACTGTCCTTGGCCACAAAAGTAAAGGTTGTTCAATTACCTTTTCTTGAAATCAAAAAGTAAACAAAACAACTTCTCCTTACTGCTGCTGTGAGCCAATTGAGCAAGCTACAAGACAAAAATTATTTTACAGTCAACCACACTTTGGTATTTCCATGCAGTGAGTCTGAAACCCCAAATAACACAACACTGCCTCATAAATTGCAGTATCTATTAAAGAGTAATTAAATGTGGGCTATGATCTGTTTCTTCTCTTCAATGCAGGTAAACGAGCATAAGTTGAAAGATGAATGCAATGCTTCTGTTGTAACAGTACTGGGCCTAACAAACTGAGTTGCTCTTCATTAAATTCCAGAATAGACTTTGATGGTTTTTTTTTATTATTGATTTATTATAACAAGTGCATGAAGGAAAGTAGCTCCACATGAATGTGTGCCTTTGCTCCACTTTGCTTTGCTTGTTTAATATTGGACAGACACAAGTTTCTTTTCTTCATGAAATTCCCTTAAAGGGTCTTCAATCATGGCGAAGTGGAATAGTTTGTTCCACGATCCCATCCTTGCTGATAATGTTTACCAATATTCCATCCCCTGTGTAAATGTCTCGTTCTGCTGCTGATACAAAAGTGTCCTTGATCAATGTCAATGCTTTTTCTTTGGATACTGGCACAGGTTGTACTCCCTCCAGGTTCTTGAGACCAACCTATAAAAAGATCAGACACACATTCCCTTTCATGAAAGTTGACAGAATGATTTATGCATTACCTGGCAAAAAAAAAAGAGCACTCACCTGATTATCCAATAAAGGCTGAAGAAGAGCGCCAGAAGATCCACTTGCAACAAAGGTACTCTTGGAGCAATGTCCAACTGGATCATAGCTGTAAGTGATACCTTTCCCCTCTTCGTCAAATCCAACTAGGACATTTGAGACATAATATGGAAAGAAACGGCGTTGGTACAGCATAGTTGTAAGCAGCTGGGCGATGGCTCCAGTAGACATTTGCTTTCGATGTTCATGGTTGTACATCTAAGGAAATCAAAGATGATTTAGGAAAGGGTGTACCATATAATAAAAATAGTAAATAAATCAGTTGATAGACTGACTTTGATTCTGGCTTCTATCAGCCTTGTTAGAGTAAGGATATCACACCAGCAGCCTGAGCAACCCAGAACTGTGCTTTTGGTCAATCTAAATAACTTTGGCTGCTCCCTGCTTAAAATTTGGAAACCAGCACTGAGCCTGGTGTCAGTAGCAATGATGACATAATCTTCCCCTGCAATGGCCACAGTACTCCTGCAAAACCAACATAATAACCACTCAAAGCTGAAATGCAGTACATTTGCAACCTGGTACAAGTACTGGTAAAAGCAAACATGATTTCATAAAGAAATTGAATTTTAAAAATTACTCTAAAATAAGTTACTCTTCTATATTCCTATGAAGCAAATTCATTAAAAATTCAGATCTTCATATAAGATGAAATTAAGACATGAAAATAAATTTGTCTTTTGAGGAAAGGTCATTTGGCCTCATAAGTTCTTCACATACCCTCCATTGTCCATATAGGGAGAAAAGTAGGCTTGCTTCCCATCTCCACTTGCAACATCTCCAACAGGATGATGAATTTTCAGTGACATGATGGTTCACCCCTTCCAATTCAGATATAATACCTAGAATCATGAAATATTTGATGCTTTTATATCAATGAATCAGACATCAGTGGTCCACCATTTTCTAATATATTCAAACAGAACGGCAAGTCAAAATTTTGACCTGCAGTATTTATTTAAATCAAAATGAGGCTTTAAATCTTTAGCATAAAATTTTTAATTTCCTGATGGCACTATAAAATGAAACTAGTAAGCAAAAATGACCATGAAGAAATTTGAGTAGAAGTATTACATAGAGCACAGAAAACCATGTGCATGACCAACACCTGCTCGACTTTTCTTATCAATAAATTAAATTATATGTACTGTCTGCTCCATTGTGAGAGTTTGCTTCTTTTGCCTTTTACATGCCCCAGTGTCTACAAGGGCTACATATAGAATCTTAAATTTTGAATGAAATCTCTTGGTGACTGGGTATTTTTCCTCTCTCTGTCTCCATGTACCCTTCCTCATTTTTTCATACTGCACATACATGAGACCCTCCAGGAATATAGTTTCCAGAGAAAATAAATGGATTTCCAAAGGTCATGGTGCCCAACAATGGAATTTTTAGTCATTGTGAGGCATGTTGACAGGCTCCAAACTTCACAATAACATTAATTTTTGCTGTGGAACATAATTGATCTTGCAACAATTGAACTCGTTAGAAGTGAGGCATAAATACACATATGTAGGCTTCACGGTGGAACAAGGTCTTATTCTACATTATAAATATGGTCTGGTTATAACCTAGTTTGTACAGCCCATCCAGGCCCAGGAAGGACCACTTTTAATCCACGAAGAAACTGAAGTATCTTGTTTGTCATAATCAAGCTCTCAACCCCTTCCTTTCATCTCCTCAAAGTGTCACTCTTACCAACAACCTGAGGGCAGGTTCACTGGTGTCCTGCTCAGGCTAGGGATAGGGGGCAGGTCATCCAAGATACAAATCACTCAAAATGCAACTTCTCAAATAACACTAGGCTTCCAAGTCTGCCTTTACAGACCTTTTCATTATTTTATTATTTGTTCAATCTCATGCCGGGCTGTGACAGGCTTTTTCAGGTTATAAAAAATGGCTCCCTGTTAAGGGTCCATGCCACCTGGTCCTTTCTGGGACTGGACAGGCATGCAAGTCAGCATAGAAGTGGATATTTGCATGTGGTGAAGCCTGGGCAGGACTCGGTGTGCAAAGTAGTGTGCAGGTGTGCATCTTGACATCCAATAACCATGTTCATTGTCATACAGTGAGTCAAAAATGATTTTGTACCACCTTTAACATGGGTTCCATTAGCCTAATGTCCCTTCTTTGGAGATATACCTTCACCTCCTTGCGTAAACCTTATAAATAACTGCACCATATACACAGTGTTTTTCACTATACTTTGACACTCAAGCATATGATAATTCCATGCACAAATGTCAAAGTCAAGTGGAATGCTCTATAATAAAAAGAGTGGTACAAATTCATTTGCAAATCACTGCCCATTCATCCCACTTCCAAAAAAAATTCAAGCTTAGGGAAGGCAATCAATCTTGAACTATTTTGCTATTCAATTATTGTATGCAGCATTTCTTAGAGCCCTCAATGGCCAGCACAAGGGGCAACCATGTTATTTTGTCCCTTACTGAAGCTGTCTATTAGAGATTACACTCTAGTAGGAATAAATCTTCAGTTATAGAAAACAGGCATATATGCTCCCCAAGATGCACCATCTTGAAATTGTGCAATTGCAACTTTTCTCAAATTGGCTTAGCACCAAGTTAAGCAATGTGCACTCTCACCTGAACATGGAATTTATCCCTCACCTCACATCACAAATGCCAGCCTGAGCTGCCCATGTGACTAATGTCAGCTAGATTTCTTAGCATGTTCTGTGACCATCCATGAGAGAAAAATGTGCAGATGAGGAAGTGAATTTTTTTTTCCATAGCATAAGAATGTGGACTGGGATTTGGAGCTTGATAGGCAATAAAATTAGCCCTAACAGTCCTAACAGAAAAAATAAGAGACAAGGCTGAGTGAGGTAGAGGGCCATGCAAAAACAAGGTGACTCCCACAACAGACTCCAGTGCCTTCTTTCCTTATCATCCATACCAGTAGCTTTTTTATATTATAGCATTACCTAACCTTAGTAGCTATTAACTGGCAGAAATAGTAGTCAGGGCATCCTTAAATGATGTTAATAAAAGTCATAACAGGGTGTGATTTTCCCTCATTTGTATTAAAAGAAAAGGAGTGAAATCCACTACTAATAAGTTTCACACTGATATATTCCAAATCACTAAGCTCATACATAAGTTAATAGTCAAACATACAAGTTTGACTCTTGCATCAAGCTGTAATTTGCAATTTTAAAAAGAACATGTTTCTTTTCTATGTTTCACAAGCTTTATCAGCCTTAACTGGTAGGATATTATCCTGCCATCAACATGCTCCTGGAGGGACTCCTATATTATGCAGGAACATCTAGTTCTGTAGAACAGTTTTCTTGGCAGAGCACTATGGAGATCCTTTGTCATGTGAACATCTCCACAACACTGACTTTGTCTTGTGTAAACCCCCCTGTTCAGTGCACACTATGGGATATCCTCATTACATGCTGGCTGAGCTACATATCTGGCATGGAGCACTCAAGTGCAAGTGTTAGAACCTCAAGTTCTATCTTAAGTTTCTTCTACGAATCAAAACACCCCCAAAAACCTAATTTTATGGGGTTTCCCTGATGGGAGTCTGTCCTTTATTTATAGGCAGGTCAATGGGCAAGAAAAATCTTTCCCACTGTCATTATCTTTACAGTGCATGCTATGGTAATGGAGTAACCATTCAGGCAGTCCCAGGACTCCTGCCAAAGCCTTGGAGAGAAGCATCCCATCATCTTCTGATTGGTTTTCTGCCTGTTATCCTGGACACCCTTGGGTGTAGCTCAGGGTGCATATGGGAGCCACATTAGGAAAACCAGATTTGGGACCTATTTAGAGAAGTAGCTAAAAATGGAGGTTCTCACGAATGGGAACCCTCTGCATGACATTCATGAGGTTCAAAGGTAGGGTGTTTCAGTCTATGAGCACCTCCAATTTGAGATGCTTCTTTAGATCAAGAGATCTCAAGTCCAGTTTTCCTGGCATGTCTCCCTTGTGCATCCTGTGATGTCCAGAATGGCAAGGCATCTCAGCTGGACATGACATTGGGGATTAGTAGGCTTACCTGGCTAAGGTGCTATTTCCCAGGCCAATGGATCTTGATGTAATTAATTAAATTTTTGCTTCACATGAATGCTATGACCATGTGTTTAGGTGAATCACTACCAGTTTTACATAATGATGGGTGTAGAGGAGTACTGACATCAGTAGCATGTTTCAGATTTTGATTGAGCTGAACAGACACAGAGCACCATGTTGTTGCAGGGCCTGCACAAAGTATTCAATGAAGGCATAGTCTTCATCATTCCAGCGAGTCCTGTCATTACACTGGTGCAGTTGGTGGACCCACATTATTTTCTCCCAGGTTTGGTGTCAAAGGCCAAAGAGTGAGAAAGTTAACCTATTTTGAAGGATGATGGGTCAGCTGGGTTAGAAAATAATTGCAGCCTTCGGCCGGGACCCTTTTCCGACCAACCATCATCCTCCAAAATAGGTTGACTTTCTCACTTTTTTGCCCCAACAAAGAAGGAATGCAGCTCCCATGGTATGTGGTTACAGTTAAATGCATACCCCTTAGGGATACTGTGTTGCTCCTTAAGTTAGGCCAGGTTAGATTAGACTAGGGGGGTGGTGTGTATTATATATAAAAGTATGTGTTTATAATTAGTTCTGATATGGGGGGATAATTAGTTCACTTGGGTGCAGTGAAAACTCAAACCATTCAATATGGTGCTCTAGCAGCAGTGGGAGTATCCTCAGGGGAATTACCTTTTCATTTCATTATCTCGGGAGATACTGATTGTGATCAAAATCTGGTTTTGTGGAAGCCCATGAGGACCTCTTTCATACGTGATATGATTCATTAGAAAATAAAGAAGTTGCATTGGCCTGTGAAATGACACCTTAACCAGCTTACCCAATGCATTGTGGGAGGAGTGTTCACAGTGTGCATAATGTTCATATAATGAAGAATACTCTGACACTACAACTAAAACATGATTGTCTCATACACAAGTGATCAGATTTCACTTTCAGGCTACCTCTTGCAATCAAAATTTTAAATGTGGATTCAGAAAAAGGCATATTGGATAGAACAAGGAAACTATAGTGAGATAGGTTCATTCACCAAAGAAAAAGTGGAGCAGAAGATGATCCTTTAAACCTAAGCTTTCCCTGAAGCGTTTTAGCTTGCTTTCCTCTACCACTGAAATGGCAGCAAGACCAAGCAAGTTTTCCTTCAAGGGAAAATAAAGTATTTTTAAAAAAATTAAGGAAAGATAACCAGTGGAAACTTACCTAACTTTTACAAACCATAAGGCCAGTAGGCCTAGCCTAACGTTTGGAACTATGCTAAGAGTCACTCATATCGATTACTAGGCTAATACTTTTATATAGGCCTAACGTTACATATTTATGAACTTCAAGTCCTAGAACATCGAGAATAAGTCCAAACCCAATTCCCCATTGTTACTGTAGGCCTAGCCGGCGCATGGTACCAAAGTAGGAAGCCATGCTGACAGATTTTGTATGCGATGAAGAATTGCCAGGGGGGCTTAAGGTGCGCGCGCAGGGTCTTTCCCCATGATAGAAGACCGATCCGACCCGAACTTGTACGCTATGAGTCAAACTTTTAAAGCAGAAACTCTCATGAAGATCGCTCATAGGGAATACCGTATAATTTTTTTTCAGACTCCTTGTGCAATCACCCCCATATCTGTATGTGTCTCAGGTGTCAGTGAGTGAAATTTAAAATTCGGTAAAACTTGCTGGAAGGCTACTGTTTTTCATTTGATTCCTCCACAAATTCGGCAGTTTCAACTTCCAATCCCCACCATGAGAAAAAATAATTTCATATTCAAATAGTAGCCAATTGGGTTAACTGAAAAATCGTCGAAC